AGAGTGGGATACTCTTCTTTTACTCATGATTTTAGTGAATGGAGGATAGGTCTTTTTGTATTTTCCATTTTTATATAATTAGTCTGATCTATTCACATATATTAGAAAATCGACCCAAAATCCATAAGATCGGTAAGGGAAGCACAAATTGGCATGCAGTCAAACGTTAAAATGCTGTTTAACTAATGCAAACATGATTGATTTACTATTTACGGACCCAAAAAGAAACGCATTTCGTAATGCTGTATTTGAGTGCCTTCAAATTACTTTTTAGTCATTGACTACAAGCCGGAATCCGTTTTCTGGAATTAATTTGAATAACTGTCATTGTTAGGATGCTGGTTATTCTGCTTTTGTTGCATTCATTTTTGGCAATATCACACCCTTAACTTCTGAATTTGATATTTTCATGTAGCTGCATGCATTTGTGGAGTATGAATCTGTCGAGTTAGCAGAGAAAGCAGTATGTGATTCGTACCCTTGAGCAAACTCATCTTTCCACCCCCAATGAATTCTGAACTGAGCTCGGTTTGGCTGCTTTACTAACTGTGATCTGTGCTTGCTCATTACAGATTGTGGAACTAAATGATGAGGGCAATTGGAGGAATGGTCTAAAAGTCCGTTTGCTGATAAAGAATGCAGTATGTACCAAACAATTTTGTTTGTTATGTCTATATATTTTCTGAAAGCACTATTTATATTCTTATGAGAATACATGCCAGTGCTACTTTGTTCATCGTGTGCCAGTGGAACTTCCATGGATGCTTTATTAGAAAATTTAAAACGAAGCTTGATTCTTAGCTGTAGATAAGTATTTATATTGAAAACAAGGCTAAAAGAACCCTATCATTTTAATCTTTATGATTCATAGTTTAATAGCCAATACTAGTCCTTTTCCTCTTGCTTTTTGTGCATCTGGGGTGATATCTCAGCAATGCATTTAAAGGGAAGGTGAGGGAAGTGAACATGGTTAAAGTACAAGTTAAGGCTTTGTTGTTTCATGACCTTTGTCAGATTATTGGTTGTTGAATTTATCTTTTAAATATATCTGTGCTACTACTTTCAATACACAGTTGAAGTCTACTCAAGTGCGAGGTAAGAAAGTTCATGATGGTCAGTCCAATGGTAAGATAGATGAGGCAGTTGTGCCAGAAGGGCAGCGGCTCAAGGAGAAACATTTAGAAGATCCATTGCAGCAGTCAGATGCTCAACCATATGAGTTTCAAGTAAGAGACATTGGGATTCCAGTTCTAATTGTTATTAATTTCTCTCTGTTGGAAAGTTAATGAAATGATTCAGTAGGAATATATTTCATATATGAAGGGCATATTCCTGTCATAGTGTTCCTGTCTGTCTTACCTTTTGGCTAAAGAAAATGAATTTAAGAAAAGACATGGTTGAAGTCTGCTTATTTAGCAGAAATTGACACGAGTTATTTTGGAATGCATACTAATACTCAATAATTATAAACATGGGTGTTCCTGACCTGAAATTTGTAAAGCTCACTTGCTATCATGTAAGAAGTTAGGGCTTAAACGTTTTTTAATAATCTTCAAAAATGTAACTTCTGATTTCAAATTGATTCAACAATTTTTAAAGGCAAATATATTTGAATTCTGGGGAAATGCCTCAGAAATTTAAAATTCTGTGGTTGAGTTCCATTTCTGCCTAATAGACCCTTGGACAAGTTGATAAGTTGTATCTGAATTTCTAGGCTTCCTGCCCAAAACGTCTTTTCAGTTTGTAGGTGGTTTTATATTTGGTTAGTTGTTTATGTACCGTCTTCCAAATTTGTTTGTTTGGTACATGGAATTGTAAAATTATACTGATTACTGTTTATAAGAAGCTGTATTTCCATGGTATGATTTATCTAAAACAGTAATCTGAAGTGCTTGAACATAATTGCTTTCCTCTCTTCCATTCTGAGATTTGAGTACTGATTTTTTTTCCTTGGACAGTGGGAGGATAACATGAACAATAGCTCACATAGGAAAGCACACAATTTTGCCAGCAGCAATGGCAGTGGGAAGGGCAAGGGACATGGCCGGGGGCGATCTCAGCATCACATCAACGGAGGAAGTCATTTGGGATCTTCACCATTGGATGCTTCTGTCAATACCGAGAAGCTGACTATAGCCAAAGCATCTCCTGTCCCTCGCATGCCAGATGGCACTAAGGGATTCTCCATGGGTCGAGGAAAGCCAGTAGCTATCTCAATAGCTTGAAATGCTCTAATATTTTAAAAGCAAGTGCATTTCTCGAATGCTAGCATGTAATTCTCGGGGCAAAAAATGGCTTGTTATGTGCTGTATGGAAGGGGAGTTAAAAATCGTAGTGTGGCTATATAGCTATTACAAGGGTTAGTTTGGTTATATCATATTTCTTTTGTATGTGCGTGTGATAAGGTTGTGGAACATAATCTCTCAAGAGGTATTATAACATTCGAACTTTTCCGTTCAGTTAGAGGTTCCCTGAATGTAGCAAGTGAATGGATCTACCGCATACGCCTATAGTAGAATACAAATATGATCGAAGAAAGTTCAACATTGCAAATCTCTCTCTCTCTCT